CTCTCTCTCTCTCTCTCTCTCTCTCTCTCTCTCTCTCTCTCTCTGTGTGTGTGTGTGTGTGTGTGTGTGTGTGTGTATATATATATTATATACATCTGTTTCACCCAAATAACCCTCCCAAGCTTCCATTTTTCTTAATTAATTGTACGCAAAGCCCAAGAACGTGTTATCTAAGAGCTTAAGTTGTTTCAGTGTAAATCCGTTGAGTGCAAGGGCCCACGGCTATCCCAAACGATGTGCAGCGAACCGGGACGGAAAAAGGGTCCCAAAATATCGTGTGGACGCCATGTTTTAACATGTTGATTATATGGCTGCTACCTCCTCCCACTCCCCTTCCACACACAGGAAAGTCACGATTTTATTTCATGCTTATAAGAATCTTTAAACCCTGTCTCAGACTACTGACAAATGACACCCCCAAAACCATGGAACTTTGGCAGTACATTTCAAAAGCACACGTACTACATAATGAGTAAAGTACTCTTTCTATATTATTGTAGGAAAATCTTCCATTGAGAAATTGAAAATAAGATGGGGTTAGATAAATTAGTTGAATGCATTTATTTGTAGAAGGGATATTTGGTGGAAGAAAGTGAAAGAATAAATCACGAGGGTGCGGCGCTGTGTCGATCTGGTCTGATATGTGAGACAACAAGGTCACCTTTTGCGTATCAGCTGGCAGCCCGCAACTATACAGAATCGAACTGCCTGAGCGAGGGTGATCCAAAGTGTGATGTGAAGCACAGTGGAATGAGGTGCTCGACAGTTTTGGCGCATATAGAGCTATTTGTATCATCGTAAAGCTTGCTCACTTGTCTTGCGCTTGATGACTCAAACATATTTTAAAATACCAGTCTATCTTGAAGAGAAGTCGAGATATTTGTGAATTAACAGATAGGGGTCGCCTGGTGTCAGCGGTAAAATTATCAAGAAAATGGCAGCCACAGTTTGGTGACTTTCAAAAAGGTGGTGTCTTTGGGAACTGCAAATCTACGTTTAGTATGCCTTTATCGACGTTTTGATTAAAACCCACACAGGAATGTGTTTTAAATTCACTCAAAAGGAAGTGTTGAGTTTCCCCCCCCCCCCCTAAAAAAAAAAAAAATTTTTTATTTTTTTAATAAAAAACCCAAAATAATTTTTTTTAAAATAATGATTATTGTAAAAACTACAATAAGAATGTAAGAAATAATAATTAAGATAATAATGAAAAAAAAAAAAAGAAATTGCCGATTGGGCAGAAAAATTTCGGTTTTCGGTTTCGATGTTTTTACGAGGGCCTTGGTTTCGCCCCAAAGTCACACAAATGTCGGCATTCTAGTGGTTAGGCTATCGAAGTCGTATTCGTGATGTTGCAAATTCGGGGATTCCAGCCTCAGGCCCGACGTTGTGTCCTTGGAGACACTTTACACGAATTTTCCCCACTCCACCCATCTGGGAATGGGTACCCAGCCAAAGACAGCGTAATATCTTGTCAGTAGTATGTTAATGATTTGCCCTTGTAAAATGGGTGCTTGCACTGTTGCTTCCCAAGAAGTTAAAATTGTTTCAGAATGCTCTGACATCGGTAATATTATGGATTATAAACGCATAAAATTTGCTTTTCACCCCGAATTTGATCCATGCATATTTTATCTATAATCTATTATAAGTTTTGTGAGATCTTTGATTTTTGTTACGTTACTTAGCTTTTAATTACGACCATAATTTAATCCTTATTCCAAGTTTTATTTATAAGAAATATTCAGTGGCATAGGACCAGCGCCTGGGAAGTGGAGTTTAGGCACCTTGCTGTCGCACGCAGGATACGAGAGTTCGATTCCCATTTGGGGGGAATTTTAATCAGGTCCATCCTTCTTATTGTTGGAGACATTGTATGTCTGTCTCTCTCATTCTCTCTATCTCTCTCTCTATCTCTATCTCTATCTCGCACGCGCGCTCTCTCTCTCTCTCTCTCTTTCTATCTCTCATTCTTTCCCTCTCTTCTCTCTCTCTCTCTCTTTCTGTCTATCTCTCTTTCTGTTTTTTTTCTCTATCTGTCTTTCTCTTTCTCTATCTCTCCCTCAACTTTCTCTCTATCTCCCCCTCTCCCCTCTCCCCCTCTCCCCCCCCCTCTCTCTCTCTCTCTCTCTCTCTTTCTCTCTCTCTCCCTCTTTCTCTCTCTCTCTCTTTCTCTCTCTCTTCCTCTTTTTTTCTCCCTCCTTCTATGGAATATGTGTGCAGGTTTCTTATTACAACCTCCTCTTAAATACTTTTTAACATGGCAAATACACGAACAAGCACATGACATGCCAAAATACGTAACATAAAATATAAATGCAAGTACAACTTCTTCTGTCAACCGTCTTAACTTGATAAATTGAAAACATTTTGTTGGGCGGAACCTTTATAGAAATCAAAATTTGTGAAAGTTCTCTTGCGTTCACATGCACAAAAAACCAGAACTTTTAGGTAAAGACTTCACACTTCAAAGCAGCAAAGATTGCTTTCTTCCCATGTCTCAATTCTGATTCACATTTTATTTTATTTTTTTCTGCAGAGTCGAACCGTGTGGAGATTTCACAGGATCTTGAATAACCCCACCCTTCAGTATCATGATTTTGAGCGTATTCTGTACTCTCTGCCTCCTCGTGGGTAGTACACGAGCAGCTAGCGGTAAGTAAACATCAAAAAAATGTCTTCAGTTAGTTGGATATTATCGTGTGTGCTTGTATCTGTGTAACCTCCGGAAAGTGGGTAGTTGAGGGGGGGGGGTACTGTGTAGTAGCTGGCTACTTCTTCCCTGTCAAACGTCTTTTGTCCTTATATCTCCTCCTTTTTGTGTGTGTGTGTGTGTGTGTGACCCTCTAGTAACCCCTTTTATTTTCGGCACTTGTAATGATACTATGAGCAATGTGTATTGCAATTTCCGAAAAACGCTTCTTAAGACTAAACAAGAAACCTCCTGACTTACACTGATGAGGTCTTCAGATACACCACCTTACGTCTTGAGACCAAGCGAGATCCGCTTTACTTCAGTTTAACTCTAGTGGGTGTTTTGTGGTACTCACGATTGAATACAACCAGACAAGCCCCGAAGATTAGTGCTGTTTCTCGAGATTCATATGCAAAGAAAAAAAGGAGGAGAGGTAAGCACCATAATATGGAATAAAGGAGCAAACAACACCACAGCATAAATCAATCCCCCATTATAACATTTAAGAACTCGGGCACTTATAGTTAAATCCATCTATTTGTAGAAAGAATGAGGGAAAAGACAAAAAAGGAGGAGGGGACAGATTTGGAGGTTTAACTGCCATACTACCTCTTTGTTTGTTAAGAATAACATTCTTTTCATATTATGATTATATCATATTTTAAAAACCTACTGGCATTATTGTAGAAGTAAAACTACTGGTCGAGAAGTTCAATCAGTAAATTGTATGAAATGGCCCTCCATGCAGTAAATGTTTATAGCATAGTATAATTAGCCTTATATTGACCCCATATCCACAATCTAAATGGTATGCAATCTGCCTGTTGTACCCCATAGCTAAATGTGTACATTTTCAACTTGTTAAACAAAGCAAGTTTAAAGTTGAATAGCATTGCAAGCAATTACTTTTTTGTGTGTTAGATCTTGTTTAACTGACCGCAGGTAGAAAAGCAGCAAAGAAGACTATTGTTTTGAGGGTTTATGATAAGAATATCTGGACGGTTTCCTTCAATTATCGACTGGGTGTTCTTTGAATGTAAAATGCGTAAATTAAAAATAATAAAAATAAATAAATAAATAAATAAATAAATAAATAAATAAATAAATAAATAAATAAATAAAAGTCTAGGAGCCCACAGCAAAATTATCTTTTACTGCGTATTAGATAGACGATCCCGATAAGTTTTGTTTTACAGCCCCAGAGCGGTTCCTATTTAAAGTTCAAATGACGCGTGATTCCGAACCTGTTATTTGTAAGACTCGGGTATTGAGAATAATTTTTATTAACGCTCGTTGTATGCTCTGTTTGATAAAAAGTTCATTCCCTTTGCAGTGGTGCTTCGAGGTGGGATAGTGAGGCGGCGGAGGGGGGGGGGGGGATTGATGTTTGTTTGTCTTGCTTCTTCGTGCTTTTTTGTCTGCTTGTTTATAGTTTTGCTGAGGTTGTTTGTCTGTCTGTTTGTCTGTCTGTCTGTCTGTCTGTTTGTTTATTTTTCTTTGTTTACTTTTGGAGGGAGGGGGAAGAGGAGGAGGTAAAAGGCTGTCATTGCTAGGCCAGCACCTCTTTACTTCATCCCGAAATGCCCAACGCCTAGCTAGACCCAATTAGGTCACTTTGGAAACACTGGACTCTGTCACCACTAACAGCTGTGTGGGTAGTTGACAGATGCTCTAGTGTGGTTTCCTCCTTCTTTCTTATCGAACACCGTCTTCCTCATCTCATCTCCTTTAAATTTATTAGTGTGTGTGTGTGTTTGTTGCTCTCTTGTAACACTTTAAATATTTGGTACTTATATATATATATATTACCTTATTGTGTTGGAAGTGCCGTAAATTTTTTGCAAAAATAAAACAAACAGAAGGGTAAGGACATTATTATTTGTAAAACCGGCCTGCGAAAATGTAGGTGAAGTCCTCCATAATCCGCTTTGTAGGAAATCCAGGAGGCTAGAATACTCTGAAAATAATAGATACAAAAGCAGAAACTCGTGCCATCAGAATTACAACGTCCTAACTCGGATTTTTTGTGTGTTTGGATTAAATTAGGTTGTCTGGGGTCTGATTCTGAAATCCCGCTTAATCAGATAGGGAGTCCTCTTCCTAATTTTTCTGTGATTAAAAAAAGGAGTTACAAGTTTGGGATTTATTTACTGCGAAATATGTTCTCGCTCGAATACAAACACATAATAAACATACAAACATCCGTTCTCTTTTCACCCCTTCCTCCTCTTCCCGCTCTCCTCTGTCTGTCTGTTTGAGTGTCTCTTTGTCTGCCTGTCTCCCCTTCTCTCTCTCTCTCTCTCTCTCTCTCTCTCTCTCTCTCTCTCTCTCTCTCTCTCACACACACACACACACACACACACACACACACACACACACACACACACACACACACACACACACACACACGCACACATACACACACACACACGTACATACACCATGTATAATGTACAACCACACCAAAAAATATTATACATTTCTTGTCTCCTGTTTTGGCAGGACACTTCTGGCATGTATTGAGATTTATAATGTCTGAAAAAATACACAACAACAACGGAAAACAAAACAATACCTAAAAATAAAAAGCAAAAAAATCCCCAGCTGTGTTTGCCACGGTCAGTCTTGAAAACGTTTCTCTTTTAAAGGGTCTGCTTCTGTAAAAGAGAACACTGAGTACACCTGGATATTGTCCTACTTTGCATTAACACCCCCCCCCCCCCCTCCCAGTTGTTTAAAATGCAGCTTTCCGTATTTGTGACAAACTGCAGCAGGTATTTAGTCGCTTACCATCCTCCTCAAAGACGCACGGGTTAGTCTTTTTCTTCTCGGATCCGGCTAATCACAGTTAAAGAGGAGTTCAGAGATATAATTTAGTCTGGATGAGACGATCCAGAGTTCAGAAATGTCACAGGCAATGATAGTTAATGGTCGGCAAGCTCTTCAAATGTGCTATGCCCACAAAGCAAACATTTTCAGAGACAGAAAAAAACGGTTTCATTCTTTAAACAAAATGCACCCAAATGATGTATCTTAATGCTTTTCTCCACATTTGAAATTCTAATTTCTCAAAGATATAACTTCTGGGGCGCATTTAACTGACACTACAGGTTAAGAAAGTGCAGTTTTTTAAATTAATGTTTTTGGCTTAGTACATATGAACAGTTGGCAGACGTAGTAATGTAATAAGAAACTATTAATTTTAGAAAAAGAATAGATGCGAGTGGATTTTTGATTAACGAAAGTGTGCGTGCTCAGTTGAAGGTGACTGTTGGCGGTATAATATACTAGAGCTTGACTCTGTTCCGGGTTCTCAGAGTTTTCGTTCCACATTTTTAATTAATGAATTTCATTGTACCCGTTTTCGTCCAATCAGTTTTCGTTCCATTCACATTATTTTTGATTACTTATAGATTACTGCAATTGCCTATCCGATTACAAAATTATTTTACTATGTGCCAAAAATATACAGTGTTTATAATCACAAGGAGGTGGAAGTAGGATTTTGTGTAGGATTAAAATTTGTTTTGAAAAGTTTGCAGATCAAATGTCTCATATAAAAGTTTCGATAACTATTATTGTACTAAAAATCTTATTAAACTCTGTTATAAATCCAAGGTATAACTTTGCAATTGTTTATTGACAGTCAGCTGCTGTATCGTTAGATGATAGGCTGAAATTCTCGGTAAACAGCAGAGATTAAGTATGTTAAGTCTTAAAATATCACAACACCCACTCATCAGACGGAGAAAGAGAGAGAGAGAGAGAGAGAGAGAGAGAGAGAGAGAGAGAGAGAGAGAGAGAGAGAGAAAGAGATGCAGACAGAGACAGAGACCAGCTAGACAGAGACATAGAGTGCGGGGTCGATAGTAGGCATTGAATGGTAATGGAACACATCATATTGTAAATGTGGGATGAAAACGGGGGAAAACCGTGGCTGACGTATGTGGGATGAATAGAGGTGGTGAAACGAAGACGTGGGACGACAACGGGCGCATCATCTATGCCCGCTTTGCCCCCCCCCCCCCCCCACCCCGTCCATCGCCCAAAATGCTATGTCGGATATTTTCCACTGTATTGTTTGCGAACGCACCTTGGAACCTTTTCAAACCTGATACTTTTTTTTCTTATAGCAAGGCTATGTCAAAACCTGTTTGTTTGTTGCTTGATTTCTTTTCGTTTTTTTTTTTTTTTTTGTTCTATTCCTCACCACTGAAGAGTATGGCCTGTTCTTTCCTGCTCCCGTACCACCGCCCCCTTCCTCCTCCCCCCCACTCTTTCTCTCTCTCTCTCTCTCTCTCTCTCTCTCTCTCTCTCTCTTTCTCTCTCTCTCTTTCTCTCTCTCTTTCTCTCTCTTTCTCTCTCTCTTTCTCTCTCCCCCTCTCTTCAGTCCTCTTTCTCTCTGTCTGTCTGTATGTCTGTGTGTCTGTCTGTCTGTCTGTCTGTCTGTCTGCCTGCCTGTCTGTCTGTCTGTCTGTCTGTCTGTCTGTCTGTCTGTCTGTCTGTCTGTCTGTCTGTCTGTCTGTCTGTCTGTCTGTCTGTCTGTCTCTCTCTCTCTCTCTCTCTCTCTCTCACTCTCTCTCTCTCTCTCTTTCAATTTCTCTTTCTCTTTCTCTCTCTTTTTTTTCTCTCGCTTTCTTTCTCTTTCGCTCTCTCTTCAGCCAACATGTCTCTCCTGATGCTCATTATTATGCGTGTCTGCGTACACCATTGTTTTTTGTAATGGATTGTATAAGATGTCATGACGCTGTGGAATCAGACGCTGGTCAAACTAAGGACATATGAAGTTATTGGCATCATCTCAAAATTTGTTGGATTGTCTCGTTTTTTATTGTTAAAAAAATACACATCTATCTTGATCACTATTTGAGATTTTTGGGATCGAATGAAACTGGGTCGCATCCTGTCAGAGGTCAAATTAGTGTTTGGTGACGTCCCAAGCTTACGTGCCTTTGGAAAC